ATTAAACATTACTATAAAAAGAGTCCAAATTGTGAATACCCGAAAGAGCTGAGACTTTGTTCATAACAAATATAACGATGAAAAAATTGTTATCGATTTTTGGTTTACATTTCACATAATTGGATGTTTAGATACAACAAGTAATAAAATAGGTTTTCATTAACTTTATTTGCACTAATAATATATTATAACAATAAGGGGCCATAAGTCAAGCATTCATTGTGTAATCTTTAAGAATTGAGTTTTTATTCAATAAACATATGCTCTAATACTTAATGAATTTTTTATTTTGTCGCTAACATTTTGTGTCAAACCTTTTAGATTACATGTTATTTGAGTTAAAAACAAAGAGCTTTATATAATGTTTAAATAATTATATTCTTATTTAGACATTATTTAACAATTGTGGTTAACCTTTAAATTGTTGTAATGCATTAATACATGCAAAACAATATACAATATATCGTATATTGCAATCAAACGCCCACTTAATAATTGACAAACAATAAGTTTATTAAAATTTAAACTTAAAAAAGCAATAAAAACATCATATAAAAAGGCACTATGAGTTGAATGACACACAAAGTAAATGAATTAATGTTTTGTATAAAATATAAATTCATAATATTTTCATTAAATCTATCGAATATTATATTAATACAATTGATTAAAAAATTAATTAAATTATAATTAAAATTGTCTTTGTTCTAAATATTGATATAATATTTCCTAAAAATAACAAGAATTTCATATTAAAACTATTAATAAAACAAACAATGAGTCAATTGACAAGTGGGCTATAATATACATTCATATCGTTTAATATTATAGAATATATTCTAAAAATATCGAAAACTTTAACAAAATGAACCGGTACATTGTAGTGTAATCATCCCTAATTATTAAACAAATATCAAACACACATATGAATAGAAATGTTAGTCAGAAATGATTTCTTATTGAAAATATTTGTCAAACGGACGCAACGGTGAACTGTAGACTGACATCAATTAATCATTAAGACTATAGTTAACTGCAGTTATAATAGTATATTATTATCATCATCTGATAAATGTCATTCAATTTAGACAATTTATCAATTTTAATAATATTTAATGAATGTCTTTAAAATGATTATATTTGTTGAGATTTTTCTGATGGCACGACAACCAGAATCTTCTGAAAAGTCAATGTAAACCAATCTATCCATAGAAAAGTATTTACAGGTTTTAGTTGTTATTTCACACTAAATGTCTTATAATAACAAAATATAAGTATCAAGTACAAATAATATACAAACCGAAAGCGTTTTGTATAACTTTGGGTTTCCTTTTCCACGCAATAAAAAGGAAATATACGGGAACTCCAGTCAGTATAATAAGACATCCGAACCCAGTGCCGACTGGGTCTGCAAGCATTGGCACCACTGTTATGAATATAGAGGCTAAGATGTAAATGATGGGCCAAATGAGGTTCACTTTAATAGGTCGGGGCAGGTCTGGCTGTTTCCAGCGCAGGTATGGAAGACAAACAACAGCCAATCCAATGGCCAGCCATGTGGCGAATCCCATGCTAAGATGTAAATGATGGGCCAAATGAGGTTCACTTTAATAGGTCGGGGCAGGTCTGGCTGTTTCCAGCGCAGGTATGGAAGACAAACAACAGCCAATCCAATGGCCAGCCATGTGGCGAATCCCACGTAATTGATCAGAGCGTAGATATCTTTGGAGGTCAAGTAGATCAGCGACAGAATGCACATAAAGATCACAGCAGGAGTTGGTGTCAGGTGTGAGATCTGAATCATTGCTAAAATCTCCGGCATTTGCTTTTGTTCGGCGCCCGCATAAAACAGTCTAACCATTCAATCAATACATTAATTGTTTGCTTAACACTTGAGTTCACAATTGATGAGTACCTCGAAGAAGTTAATAGGATTCCATTGACGCCACCAAATGTGGACATGGCTACGAACACCGGTACTATCCATGCCATCCATCCGTACAATCGTTCAGCGAATGTCTGATTAATATTATTTCAACAAATTAATGATTTCTCCAAATATAAGAGTAGTTAATGAATACATACGACGGCCACTGCTTCGGCACCTAATACTTCGCCCACACTTAGAGTCGAGTGGAATGCGATTATAGTGAGGGTATAGACCACTGTCACTAAAATACATGATATGAATATAGCTCTTGGAAGATTTCTATTTAAAATAAACAAATATTTATTCATTAATTTTTATTTAAATCAATTTGTAATTCTGAAAAACTTGTTTAAATTAAAGTGATATAAATAGTGTATATTTAGTTGTTAAGTACAATTACTTTAATATAAAAAATACACACTCTCTGTAACATACTCTCTGTAACATACTCTAGTTACAGCAATCTAATAGGTAAGCTCTCAACAATTGACCAATAATATTATGATAAATAAATTCATTGAAATACTCACTTGTGAGGCTCCTTTAGTTCTTCAATTATAAAGTTTAGATAATTCCTAAAAGAGAGAGAAAGACATCAGAAGTGTATTTGGAGGCAATTCTCAGAGAATATATTATATTCAAGTTATTTTGGCTTTCATACTGTATATGATAATAGACTTCAGTTCATAACAAAATACAAATAGAGAGCCAATTGTGGAAGATTTTCAATTAAATATCCAGTTATATAAGTATAGAATGAGAGGTTTAGCACTATCATGTTAATTTATTTGTAATGTTATAAAATTTTTGATTTCAAATTCTATGAGTCGGCATTTTTGTGAAATTCTTTATATTGTATTTACAAATTAATAATACTATTTATTGAACAATATAAATTTATCCAAATGCTGAGTTCAACTAACTTGTAAATTAAACATTTAAGAATAGAATTTTTTATTATCATATAAAAATTGCCTCTAATATTAATTAATAATAATAACTGAATTCAAGCCTACCATCCATTATATGCGAATAATCCTGAATAAAATGAGAGCGCAATTGTTGTGATGTCCACGTTGGGAACAGCCTTGTCCTGGACAAACGAGAAATGTTCCGTATGTCCTATCAAACAAACAAAATCACTTTAAATAACTTCAAATCGTTGTAATCAAACATTCATTTATTTATTAAATCAGATTTTTTCTGTCATTCAGTATACCATGGAGTGAAAGACTGATCACTAGAAGGAACTAATGGTTGTCTTTTTATTTTCTTATAATAATTGTACTATTTCACATCAATTATAAATGATCCTGCTGTAAATGATCTGTTTTTATATCCAATTTCTTTGACATTAAAAAATAATTTTATAAAAAATTGTTTAAATTAAAAAATATAATTTAACCGCTATATACTTTACTTAAAGAATATTTGAAATGAAAACATAATAAAATTAACTTTTACACATAGACAATAATTTAACTATATTGTCACTATTAAGAATAGTTTTTTCTATTAAAAATAAAATAAAATAAATTAAAATTTTTAGAATTAAATCGCACAGAATTTAATAAGTATTTTATAATAAATTAGGAGTTCCGTTTAACCCCAAAAAAATCAATCATTTATAATAAGACTCACAAATACATATATAAATATTCAATTGATAAATGAATTGATTAGTTATATACGTATACTACTGTATATGTGTGCTATTATATAAATTTATATAATAAGTTGTACTATTAAATAAAACAGGAAATTGATTATTTTATGAATTGACGTTTTATTGCATTACATGAGAAATAATGGACGAAAATAGTCATAATATTAATACAAATATTGTACTCGTTTTGATCACATTTAGAGAATAAAACACACGTTTTATAATAATATTAAAATGTGTGACAAGACTGTTATCCATACCTTTTGAGAGCTGAACGATTCCGGTTATAATGATTGTAGTCAATGCCAACAATTTTCCATATGTAAAGTAATCCTGGACTCTTATTGACCACTTGACGTCCCAACAGTTGACAAAAGTTAATAGACCTGTATAAATCAATAATAAAACATATTAATTTTGTTTCATCATTATACATCAAATCAATAAACTTCTAAATTACACATAAAATTTTTGTTTTATAGTAAAGTGATTGGTATTAGTTTTAATATACTTGGACTATATCTTTGTATCAATGAGTAGAATTTGACAAATAATTTCAAGATATGTCCATATTATGGACTCCATAAACCCGATAATAGTAATTTATTAAAGTCTTCAATTTAAACCCAAATATATTCAGAAAATTGTCAGTACAATTTAAATACAAAACACCTAAATGTTTTATACAGTATTACATCTACATGTTACATATTACATGTATTAATAATACAGTATTATTATTAGTTCCTAATACAGTATTAGTATTTAATTGAAGACAAATATAATAGTTTTACTATTTGTGGTTTTGATTTGTAGTATTATAATTTATTTCATTACATTATAATTCTCAATTCTTTTCTATAAACCTATTTAATTAATTGTATTATAAACCTTGTCTGATTCATGTGAGTGTTTGAGTTAGAATTACACTCCTGGTGAGAGTTTTAATCCTTTAAAACTCAAATGGCTTAAATGGAAAGCAGTGTTTATTTAATGAATAATACAGTACTGTATATAACTAATGTCATCTTATAGTATTAACCTTAAATTCTAATTATTTATATTTTTCATTTTTACTACTTCTTCGAGTAAAAGTAATTTAGAAATAAGTTTAATTAATATTAAAAAGTTAAAGACTCATGGTTAAGATTTAGAGACAGATTATATTATACTTAATAATGACATTTCTTCCATAACTTTAACTAATGATTGCTTTCATTTTAATTAGATTTCATTTTAAAGATGAGATATTCTTTATATAGAAATTATGTTCAGTAAGAAAGACTCACTTCTATATAAAGTGAATGAACACATTTTTATCATTAGATGTTTAGTTTAATTGGATTTGAAATATTATAAATGTATGCTTATGATTACAAATACTCCAATCAAATTAAATAATATTTATAATCTAAAAACAGATATAGTTANTTAATTGGATTTGAAATATTATAAATGTATGCTTATGATTACAAATACTCCAATCAAATTAAATAATATTTATAATCTAAAAACAGATATAGTTAATGTCATTTATAATCACAACAAGCAAACATTTATAATTACGATAATAACAACATTATGTCATACAGTATTAAGATACTTTTAATAAGTCTATAAAAAAGTTTCGTTAGTTTAAAATCTTAAATAACATGTAAAAATGATAGACACGGAATTGATTAATATTATAAAATAAATGCCAAAAAATATTTTAGTTTATTTTAATATACATTTTAAGTTAATTTAAAATTAAACATATATTTATGATTAATTTAAAAATGATATTATTTCTTAATTCATATGGATTTTAATATTATAAACTGAATAAAATTGAATTCTCGTAAAGCATATAAGATAATAAAGTGAAAGTCATATAATGATAAATAAATTTTAATTTAATTTTAATGGTATAATAAAATTGAAAAACTGAGATTGAAATTAGATGGTCTATCAAATTATAATTCAATTTCTAAAAAGTTAGGCATATTGCCAAAAATATACAAACAAATGTTTGCAGCCATTTAATAATGCTTACAAGTTAGTAATTTATTGATAAAGTAGCAAGATGAAATCTGATGATATATAGTAATATCTCAGAAATATTTTGCATAATTTTTAATTTCTGGTAGGAATATCAAGTTCCTAAAACCTAGTGTACGAGTTTACTTTTATACATTGTACAGTATATTGTTCTTTTCTTAACATTTTGACTCGAAACAAAAGTCGTGAAGTCAACCTAGGTATTTTAAATAAAATTATCGTCAAGATAAACTTTAACTTAAGTTATAACAGTGTTAAGTCATAAGCAAGACATTTGTAAAAGACTTTATATGGTTACAATGCATTATTTGCATAAATATGATTTTGCATGTTTTACTTTACATTATGCTGTGTATAATTATGTTTAAATTTTGAAACATTAGACCAAATTTGTTGTCATAAGACAAAGAACTCGAAGTGAATTGTAATTATGTCTGTCATATGAACGAGAAAATGAGAATCAGTTTCCTATTCACTAAACAGTAGTTATAATATGAGAGAAATATAATATAAGCAGTTTTTGTTGAAAATCCTTGAGAAGTAATGCAAGATTAAATCAGTCATAAATTATTATTAATAACTCAAAAGTAAGTAATTTTCAAACATTTCACCAAATATTTGAGAGCTTATAAATATTAATGAGTTTTAATGGTTTCTAAACTGAACTATAATACCATTAATATGTAATATTTGTGTAACATGTAAGCAGGGCTCATTAAGTAACTTACAAATACACACAACAGCGAGCATTCTCGTGGCGTCACCGGGAGGGTCGCAGTCGGGATAGAAGGGCCGCAGTGTGTAAAAGGCAAAGGCCAGGGCTATTATGGCTGTATTGCACGGACGCACAATCATACCTGTGTTGTGCAACAGTTTATGCATTTATATACACTTTCAATGAATTCATAGCAAATACAATACATTCGATCCATAGTCTGAGGAAAGCAACGAAAGGTCCGAAACACTCCATAATATATGCATAATCGGCGCCACTCTTGGGAATACTTGTTCCCAATTCCGCATAACATAGCGATCCGATCAACGAGAATAAGCCACTTAATACCCATACGATGATGGATAGGCCTACACTACCGGTTCCGTTAATCACACTATATATAGTAATTTAACGTATTTATTATTTATTAAACTTATAATTGACAGTAATTATTAACGCTTGTATCCTACCCTTTTGGGGAAATAAATATCCCAGATCCTATCATACAGCCCACTATCACATTAATACCATTAATTAATGTCATCTTAGGCTTAAGACATATGACATCGTCGTCTTTCTTATCACTCGAAACATTCAACTCATTCTCATCCGAGTTATCCTTTTCTCTCAATTCAGACATTTTTCTTATCTTCGGCTCAATCTTTATCTCCAATCAATTGTCTCACAAATTATATGTTTTTCACAATATATTCCTGAAACACATCATAACAATAACAATGAATTGGTGTTCAAATTGTCAGACTTTTGTATATATCTATGAAAGAATGATTCAACACTTTGTAAATGCAATACAAATCCAAAACTGCACTTAAATTACACTTAGATTCAAGTGAAATGTTATATAACTTGATCAATAAGTTTGTACTTTCCAACCACCAAACACAACTTGTTAACTATTGATACACAGTATTATGAATTCTTAAATATTTATAGCAAAATACGTTAACATCACTTAATCTGAATATGAATCCAATTTTGTGAGACATATGTTTGGATGAAATGCAGACATAGAGTTGAACACAAAGACAATTATATTATCGCTGTTTTATAAATACCAGAGTCTAGAGAAAGAGGAGCCTATCGGTGCTCAGACACCAGAGATGGTCGACTTTTATTTATATTAATATAGTATTACACCATTTATTAAATATAAGCAATTTATTGAGTTTTATGATTGGGATATATTCTTCACAAACAATTCAAACCATGAACTCTGAGGAACAGAATCTCTAATCAAGTTTTTATGATTAGGCGCTGAAAGTAAGTGAACAGTTATGTTATGCAACGACTTTAAGCAGATTTTTTTTGTAAGTATTGCTAAAACTGAAACACAAGTTGGAGTTGAATTATACAACTCCAACGCATTGCCATAACATTACCATCAACTCTATGCTAGAGATCCCTATTTCACTGTTTGTCGTAAATTTAACTTTCGAGAGACCGGTTGTGAAAGCATTTCAAACATTTAAAAATAAATTTTACTTTTTCAAATAAATTCGTGTTAACTTTAATGTTTGGATTTTAATTCTTTAAATTATTTCATGAAATAAAATTTATTAGAATCATGAATATTAATGACACTTTTTTCGCCACAAAACTGGTGGCTATTCCTTATCACACATTTGAAATGTTTGTAAATTAATTGACAAATACCCGTATTCTCATTATATTTGCGCAAATCTTTAAATTGAGTTAAAATAGCTTTGGGTTCAAACAAAAAATAGAAACTATTTTTGTGGTATAGAAGTAAAGTACACAAAAAGTATTGGAATTCCATCTCATATTTCTTCAGAAGAATAGTCTTTAAGACTTTACTCTGTTTTCAACATATTCTTAGAATTTTAGACAATTTTCACTTAAAAATAATTTTCCTAGAACATATTCAACCTTACGATTATCCTAATACTTTAGTCATAATACACAATAATATAGAGTATATTATAAAAGATATTATATACGGTTTAATAAAGAGGAATTAAATTAAATGTAAATTTATAATGGTTTTTATTATCTACTAAATATTTTTATTTTAAATCTATTAAAACAATAAACCATAAAACTAAATAGACCAAACTAAACTGAATATTCCAAGTAAATATACCAAGATTTATCAATATTCAATTTGTTTGATTGATCTGAAAATAATTCGTTATGATATTTATTAAATATATTTTTAAACTTTGATATTTGGCTTAATTTATTTAATATTCATTGACTAACACATCCGTAACATAAATTTTGCTTTAATTTAATTGATTAATAAATTAAAATTTGTTGCATTCATTTTACAAGTGAGAATTCTTAACAAATATTAAGATATTATAACCATACAAAAGACTCGTTATGGGAATGAATGTCTTAGGACTGTAGATTAAATTTATGTGACCCTGTTATCTAACAAAATGTAAATTTTATGCAAAATCCGTCAAAAGCCGTATTAGGCAGAGGGACGGGTGGTGTAAAGAGTGAGCAGTTATGGGCCCAACATTGACACGATATATCGTATGAAGGCTTGTGTTGCCTGTATTGACAGCATTTGAAGTGCAGGTCTTTGAACTTTTCAATTGCCATATCCTTCATATTAAATGAATTACTTTTCCATTCAATCGTTTAAACAGTTATACTAATTCTCAGAACATATTCTCATCATATTTATAACATACTGTATATGAAACCATATTTTTATATACAACTTCTAAAAATCTGAAAACTTCATTATGCAATCAGTTATTTAAAATTTTAAAGTTTAATTTTTTTAGTCAAAATATCTGAACATTTTTAAGTATTTTATCAAAAAGTTATTAAAATATGTTTAGTTTAGCTTACTTATTAGCATAATCAATTACAATGTTTTACAACAATTTTTAAAATATTGAAAAAGAGTTTCTTACTATTAAATGATTATTTGTTTAGAAGATTTCATTCGTAATGATTAGATATACAGGTAATGAGAACCAAAAGAATTAATATTAATAAAAACATTAATCTATTTGATTGTATATATAATAATGGATCTGAGGTTCAGTGCTCCCCGAGCTCAGACACTTTTAGTAGAGACTAATGAATAGTGTATTGTATTTAAATGCAAATACATAATGAATGTACAAATACTGCAAATACAAATAATGCAAAAGAAGTGTTCATTTATTGTATTTATACAAAAAAGTCATTATTACTAGAATTGATAAAAATTTCAAACAAAATTAAATTTAATATTCAAAGAAGTAATAAAATGAAAATTATTTGAATAATAATCTCAAATTAATTACCAAAATTTTGTTATTTTAAAAGGTTGCTGAAAAACTTTAAATAGTTTCGATGGGGTATTTTAATATCATAACAAAATCGGAATGCATTATTATTTGTGTAGTAAAAACAAAATTTTCTCGAAAAATTATCTTTTTCAATTTTATTATTCTTGTTATAATTTTAAAAAAGTCATAATGTTATTATATTAACTACCGTCAGATAAATGTATATATTTATAAAAATTATTTTATTTTAAAAACTTTTAGTCATTTTATAAGAATACTACTTAAAAATTAAATTTCACATATTAAACTCTCTCTCTCTCTCTCTCTCTCTCTCTCTCTCTCTCTGTCTCTCGTTTTATCGAATAAAAACTAATGAAATAACTAGAATAAAATTACATTAGTTTTGAAGGTCTTTATAATTTGTATTAAATATAATATACATATAATATTAATACGGTATTTAAAATATATTTAATATACAAAAAGTTTTTATTGTAAATGAAAGCCACAATACTGTAGAGCTCAACAGTTTTAACCGTAAAAGATATTTGATGCATAATTTACAAAAACAGAAATGTATTCATTTAATTAGGAATTGATTTCAATGTGGGAGAAAATTGTTTGTGTTAAAAAGGTTTACAATTCAATGACAAAACATACATTAAATTATCATTTGTTTTCAAAACAAATAAAAATGTGTGATATAGCAATTCAAACATTGGGGTTCACAATTTTAAAATGATTTCATATTAATTTACTCTTACTTTCAAAAAAATATTACGTTCATTTTAACAAAATCTCCATGTTAATCAATTATTAAATGAATAAAATAAATGAAATTTACCAATTTTAAAGATAAAATTTTATTTAAGGTTTAAGTTATAGATCCCCTTTCTAAATTTTGGAATTTTAAAATATATGTTATTTTTAAAGTTAATCTATTTATAAATTTGGATAAATAAATTATCTAGATAAAATCAATTTCACTGTCAAAGGTTGTTAGCTGAAGTTGACGATTATTAATATTGCTATAAAATATTATCAATTGTACAATGGGTTATCAAAAGTTGTGCAAACGTCTGATCAAATATCAAGCATTTGTTTAAATTATATCTTTATAATATAAAACCTTTTTTGATATCAAATTAATATTAAATTTCCAATTATTTCCAACAAGTCTATAGTCTAAAAGTTTTACTAAAAATATATTACAGTTTTGGCGCAACTTTTAGCTAACCTTACATCACATGGAAAGTAGGAAAGAGTTGCAGCTGTTATGAGAGAACTACTGACAACAGGTGCCAACGAATGGCTTTTTATTAATGACTATAAAATGTGTTAAGAAATGGACTCATAAATGCTTACCGATGCAGATGGCGGCCAGATATCTGACGGCGAGGTCCGGGGGCTCACAGTCTGGGAATATGGGTCTCAACGCATAGAACGAGAACGTGAGCGCCACTATTGCCTGCGAACACGGCCTCACTATCATACCTGTCCATCAATAAGCAGTTTTTAATACCACTACTAAATCCACTTATCCATGTGTTCATTTCAAACACAGGTATTATATTCAAAATAATATTTAGTTATATTCTTTACATTCAATCCAAAGTCTTATGAAAGCGAGAAAAGGTCCGAAAGACTCCATGATATACGCGTAATCGGCGCCCGACTTAGTGATCATACATCCCAACTCAGCGTAACAGTACTGTCATCAGTGTGATCATCATGAGCAATGAGCAATGTCATTTATTCATTCATTCATTATGCACTAATCAAATGAATACATACGGCGCCGATCATGGAGAAGACACCGGACGTAATCCAAACCACGAGAGATAGTCCAACACTTCCCGTGTTCTCCAACACACTATATATATAGTAATTGAACGCATTTATTATTTATTAAACTTATAATCAAAATGGTATTAAAATAACTTATAATTGACAGTAATTATTAAGGGTGGTTCTGTTAGACCGAGTGTTAGAGAGGTTTGAGACCCTACCCCTCACCCCTACCTTACTCACTCACCCTTTAGGCGAAACGAATATTCCCGAACCGATTATACTGCCAACGATTACAGTGATGCCATTGAGAAGGGTCATTTTGGGCTTTAAACATATCACATCCGGGTTTTCCGCTTTCGATTCCGGACTTTTAGGCCTTTCCTTTTCGTTGGTTTGCGGAACTTCTGTATATTCTGTTGTTTCAGCCATTCTTATGCTTTCAATATCTATTTGAAAGTAAAACAAGAATTTCTAGATTTGAGATTTCTACTTATAAAAAGTGTGTATTTACCCCAAATATGTCATCAAATGATATTTTATTCAAGAATTCAAAGTAATTCTTGAAATGAGACAAATTTGAAAGCAAATGAGTGTCGATTCCAACAGATTATGATCACATGTGGACTTATACTACACTATAATAAGGGTTGTATTGAATTGAATGAAATGAATGAATAGAAAGAATCAGATCTGGAGCTGAGCTGAGCATGACTTCTATCTTCACATCTCATTCTCAATGGGTTGTCAGCGAAGCCAATGTCGACATGTATTTCACAATTAGAGGCGCATGTCTTGTGTCAGACTAACTAAAACGAGTTTAGAGCCGTCATTATTATTATGCAATCCTAACCTTTCCTTTCATAACCTTTGCTTTAATTGTCAAAATCCAACAAATGTCAACATTTTATATATTTATAGTATTATATTATATTATATGACTACTTATGTAAATATATTAAACAAAAAACATCCAATTATTCCAACTGTTTGTGTATACTTTATATTTAACAGCAGACAAAACGGAAACTTATTTTTGTTATTTTGCAAAATGATCCCTTATTTGATAAAAAAATACTAAAAAGGACAAATTGTCGATTTTTGAAAAGAAAATTTTAATTTAAGTAATAAATAAAAATTTACTTATACAAACCAGGTTTAGTCATTTTATTATTTTTATATTTTCAAACTAATTATTAATAAATAAACAATTAAATTGGTAAATGTTATCATATAAAAAGTATTCAGTAATCAATTTATTTACAAATTATGCCAAAAGAATGTCAGATGATATGTAGTAGAAGTCTTCAGATGTAGTCAAATTTATAGTAAAAAGATTCAATAAATGTAATATCAATATACAGTACAGTACTGTACAGTATTAATCAATTTAAGGCCAAACTTATGATAAAAATTCAATCAAAGTTATGACAAACATATCAATAGTTTGTTATTTAAAAATACCAGAGAAGTGTCTAAACATAATGACAGGGTACTATCAGTTGTTTATTTTTATAGTCTCTAAATATTAAAAATAGTACATTTGATAATTGAATTAAATTTTTTAAAATTTTTGAAATAATTTCTATTAAATAGCTATAATTAAAAAAGGTTGAGACAGAGTCACTATACTTGTACAGTACTTTAACTTTCTACTTTATATTTGGCACAGATTTTGAGAAATTCATAATTTTAATTAGTATAACACTAACTGCACTTTACTGTAAATATTTGTTTACTTAAATTAATATTATTTTGTAATTGTATTTGTTCGTCCATGTGAATATAACCTTGTTATATATCAAAACAAGTTCTTGGTCATTGAAATAGTCTATATTTCATATACGGTAGATATATTAGGTTTTTAATTAGTTATTGTAGCGAATATTTGACTTATAATTTACTATTTGACTATTTTTGGACATATTCTGGACACAACTTATAAGTAGGAATACAATAAATATGGATAAAAAGTGGGTTTTTATAACTGGGCTAAGTGTATCCCTGTGATTCATAAACACATTCATGAATTTAATCAGTTTTTGATTTTCAAAAATATTAATTCTTTATAATAATTTTATATGAATATTCGTTTATATAAACACTCATTTGACAAAATTGAGACTATTTATTACAATTTTCTTTAAATTTGTTAATTACTCAGGAAATTTTTATTATTCATAATATATTATTTCATCGATTAATAAAGGTTTGCGTGTTTTATCAATTGAATACTCAAATTATTATAAAGGATTCAAATATTGAAAATCAAAAACTGGTTAAAATAGTGAATAAGTTTTGTATTAATCACAGGGATATACAGTACAGTACATACACTGACAGACCAATCATACGGTGGTTTTTCGAGTATAGCTTTTGAACGACTAATCTCACAAAGATTGATCATGATGTATTCTTGTAGTCATATGTATACGACAAATTTGTATACATATGAGACTTGATTATATGAAACAGCGACAATGATTTATATGAGTAATATAAGATTAAGATTTTTGTGGAACGTTTACTATGAGACACGTTACAAATAAAGCTTAGTCTTATATTACTCATAAAAATCATTGTCGCTGTTTCATATAATCGAGATTCATATTCATGTTAAAGTAACCCTGGTCATAAGATATTTAATTTTGAAAATTAACTAAAAAGCGCATAGGAAATATATGGAGGTTTTAACAACTTTCATTAATTTTATAAATTCAGTAAACATAATATTAAAAGATTTTATAATCTGATCTTGACTAATTTTTTGTGATCTTTTCAATGCATTATCCTGTTTTGTTCTAGGACCTATGGTTACAAAGTTAGAATAACATTTATGTGAAACTTAAATATTATTCATTCATAAAAAAATTTAATATTACGCTCAATGGTTTTGAAACATTGGAAAAGCATGAAAAATGACCAAGATATAGCCATTTGAAATTTGCGTCAAGTATAAAAAATCTATTTGGCTACAAGAATATGATCACTAAATCTTTGTGAGATTAGTGGTTCAAAAGCTATACTCGAAAAACCACCGCATGATTGGTCTGTCAGTGTATGTGTATATAATTTCAATGAATCCCTTATTAGTAAATATACAATATTTATAAAATTCGTTATTATTTATATTATGGAGAAATATAATGTTTTGGACAATTCAATCACTTCAACACTAATTACTGTATTGTGATCTAGAAAATAGTGACACAAATCAATACTGATATCTTCATTTAATCTATACTATAGAATCTATAGGGATATCTCATAAAACTAATTGAGACACGAATATACCAAAAGATGACATGATCTCTGCTTACAATACGGCTGCATAGCATTGAAAGCAATCTTAGCTTTGTTTTTATTTTATATTACTCATAGAGATCATGTTACTTTTGGTATATTTCTGTCTCATTTATTGTTTATTGTGCCGTACATTAAGTATCTGTCAATTCTGTAATTATGAAAGAATTCACACTCAGTCATTTTTAATTAAAGTAATTCACTAATACAGTATAACACAAACCCTATATCTCAACTAGTGTAATGTTTTATTATAGTTTACTCGACAGTTATTCGCATAATTAGAAAATTCTTAATTAGAAATAAACTATACTTTTATAGAAGTAGTCATAATTTTACTCTAAAATTCTTGTGAAGAATTCTTACAATGTTAGTGGAAATGACTTGTATTGAGTACTTGTATTTTCAATATTTCTAAATATTTGAATTATATTATATTATTCTAATTATACAGTATTACCGTATGATTTGTAGATTCTCGACTGATATTGAGTGAAATATTACGTTAAAAGTATTATTAAGAACTGATTTGTAAATTCAATGAACTTTTATCATTAATATTATTCAATAATTACTATTAAAATTGAATATATTTAATATAAAGTATATCAACCACTTGAAATGAATACAAATATACTGTAAATAGGCAAGATACTATATTTAAATAATCTTGAGTCACGGTTTTGAAATATTATTTGGTATAGCAAATAATTAAAGTAATTTAACCTTTTCAAAAATCTTCATCATAGTAAGTTATAATTAAATAAATATGTCTTATAAATTGTTTAGTATATGTTATACGGTATAACTTATACCATATAAATAAAATGTAGTTTCTAATTGTTTTATAGATTAAATGTGAATAAAAGTAATGTCATATCATTGAATAATAACAATTCAAATTCACACAAATTATACATGGTCATATTTATATTATTCAAATGATTTCAAGTGTTTTCAAATCTCAATTTGAGAATAATTTGCATAAAAATTACGGTAATTTAAAATTTTGTTTAAAAATAAATAAATGAATTAAAATTTAATTAAAAAGTATGTCAAAAATGCTTGTTATTATTAATGTTGTTATTATTATCTTTAGACCACTTTCCCTTATGAACCTCCTGTACTGGCTACGGAAACCGACTCGGAAGGGACTTCTCATCGGCTGTGGGCCACAACTATATGAGCCCGACAAATTATTTGGACTTGTATTGGCTACGCGAGAGTAAAGTTGAAATGCACTTTTTGCCCATAATTGCGACTACAATTGCAGTTTGCCTAACATTGCCAATATAGACAGTGGTCTGAAAGCCCGGACATATCATTGTCACGTGAAATAAGACATGAATCCTCGCCTGGAAATACTGACAAACTTTATGACTCTGTTTTTGGTCATTCATTTCAATGACAACCATTCCTTTGCGAACATTTCTTTCTAAATCCATTTGATTATTATATCTATTGAGAGCCAATGTAGCGCTTTCTCCGGCCCTCACTGAACGACAGGCCACTTTGTGCCTCTGGAGGGACGACACCTGCACTCCAGTGAACGAGCCGTCATCTAAAGGACCCATTTTGAGACAATCGCCTTCTTTTATTAATCCAGATATCAATAATCCACTCACAACTGGACCTAAATTATCATTGTTTATCGTTTATAAGCAATCATTTAATCAGAATAATAGGTTAAAGTAATAGAAAGGTGTGAAACATAACAGACCCACTTCTGGCACTTGAAATGTCTCGTCGACCTACACATTAGATTTAATTATTAGAAAACATTTAAAAGTGCTTTTCAATATTATTATGGACTTTAAGGTGCAGTCTGACCTAGTCAGAGAGTGCTAGAAACTGACAGTATCTCCCGCCGTTATGTATATTCTTAGACATATTCTCTAGGTTAGGGACAGGGCTGTGTCACGAGACCATAAAGATGGGGATTATATGATCAGACGTGAGACGACTGGCACAAGTGATCACATCATCTTCAGTGTCAACTTTGACAGGAATCTGTTTGGATGACATAAAACACAATATATATCCCATATATTAAAGACAAAAGTATTACGGTATAAGTGAAAAATTAATTACTTTTTTACAAACTGGAGATTTTAGGAGTTCCTCCAATTGATAGAGAGTTGCAGAAAGTGAGTCATTGTTCGTGAGATCTATTTTATTAATAACTACTACAATGGGAACGTCAAGTGCCAGCGCTAGACCCAGGTGCTCCCTTGTCTATCATTGAAAAATAGTCAGGATTATACCGTAATGGTAAAATATATTGTATGGTATCAATTAAATTACATACCGTTCCGGCAAAGACACCTCCAATAGAACTAATCACAAGTACAGCGTAGTGTCCATTCATAGCCATTAATCCAAATACAGTAGTTTTTAAGTACTTCTTATGTCCTCCCAAATCAATAAATGTAATCAATTTTGAAGATAATTCACAAATCTCTTCGGGAGTTCGGCACACATTATAAGTGATGGGAACGCCTTTGTTGTCAAACCCTAAGATCTCTTTGCTTATACTCGAAGTCCTTCCCGTTTGGATCTCATGCCTGTGACGGAATAGGTTTAGTCGAGCGCTACCTATAATTGACAGACATTTACACTCAGTTTAAACAATCAATTAAATGAGTCAAACGACAGACCCCTTCCATTGTCGAGCTCTCCCTGAGTGAGGACTCCTTTAAATAGAGAAATGGTATCAATAAGTGATCAAAGAGTGAGTTAATAGAGACCGAGAAGAGTGCTTTTGCCGGTCTCCACGTTCCCCAACACAGCGATCCTGAGTTCAATGGTCTGCTGGTCGTCCGGCACTTTCCGCACCAACACTTCGATCGCTTTCCGGCTTTTTTGCTGACAATCCGTGTATTTATGAATTTTCGAGTTTTCCTCTCCGGTTATAATCCTCTCTCGCAATACAGTCAGAGTTGCGCCCAATTTCTCGGCCATTAAGTACAGCGTTTGCATCGAAGCGCTCACATCTTCGTCTGAGAGACCAATTAGTAATCCTTTATCTTCGACTCCGATCTCATATATCGCTTCTCCGTGTCCTTGGGATGTGATCACAGTATTAACGACAGAGTGAATGCAACTGACATTCCGTGGACAGCAATACCTTCCCTGAGTCTCCACTTCATTTGAGTGACCAAATGCTCAAATCTAGACTTCGATGGTGCGATGAGTTTCAGCTTATACTCCACGTTCCCCTCCTCCACCTCCGGAGGCAGACAAGCACTTCCCGACAACAGTGTGCGACCATTCAGGTCATCATCGCTGTCCATCTCACCTCCAAATAGAGACAGTAATGGATCCATTGCTAGTCAATCACTGGCAGTCTTTACGGTCAATAGAGATCATTAATTGTAGACAACTATTGTGTTTATGAGTTAATAATAGACTATTAATATTTTACGATATTATTATGTCATAAATATATTCATAAGTAACTCAGTTACTCACCAGACAGTTCACTACGTTAGCTAACGTTGTGAAAACAGTTTGCGATAGTTTTGCTATGTTCTGAAGTTAACTAAACTGAGTTGATTAGTGAATGAGTGCTAACTATATGTATATATCATAGCAACACATGTTATATTCAATTGTCACTAAAACTATTATTAAGCATAGTATGAATATTTACGCAATCAATGTATTGTCACATTAAATGTCATTTCAATATCACAGTCAAAGACATATGTTATATATAAATTTGTAACTGTAAATGACAACATTTGCTTTAAAGGTGTCAAAACTATAATAAAAGTGATTATCATTTTTTAATAAATAGGTTTCAATGCAATTCACATCTAAATGCAAATCTAAATTTAATGACAAATAGTGTTTGGTCTGATGTTAATGATTACAAGGAAATCACATTTGAATGCAAAAGTGTGTCAACAATTTGTATGAATATCAATGTGTCTTACCTTTCATTTACAGTTATAACTTATAACAGAAAAATCCAAATTACATAATAACTATGCAATGAATGTATGTGTGGCTAATGAATGAGATGATTGTAATTAAACATAAAACACATGAATTGAGAGCCAAATAGTGGTCACTGAATGACAGTTAGAGTGCATCAGCTGTTCATTGATTTGGCGTCACTTTCATAGCACTGACAGCACTATAGCATTACTATTGCATTACTATAGCATTACTATTGCATTACTATAGCATTACTATTGCATTACTATAGCATTACTATTGCATTACTATAGCATTACTATTGCATTACTATAGCATTGACTGTAACACTCACTTCAGTGGTTCACTACTTCCTCCACACATACACTGTATCCGCAAAAGTGTTTGAATAGCATTCAACTCAAGCACCAAATGCTCAAACACTGCACCACTCTATCACTCTATCACTACAGCACTAGTGGTCACCTCTGCGTCCAATTCATGAGTGAAATACTTGTATTGAGATACCGTTACCCATAACCAAATCATACTGTACTGTACATACCATTCCCGTCACATATGCTGCATGAAAATTGTACCAGGGCATTATAAAGGTTCTTTATTATAACCCTTGTTGTGGTAGACTAACTAAAACGAGTTTAGAGCCGTCATTATTATTATGCAATCCTAACCTTTCCTTTCATAACCTTTGCTTTAATTGTCAAAATCCAACAAATGTCAACATTTTATATATTTATAGTATTATATGATATTATATGACTACTTATGTAAATATATTAAACAAAAAACATCCAATTATTCCAACTGTTTGTGTATACTTTATATTTAACAGCAGGCAAAACGGAAACTTATTTTTGTTATTTTGCAAAATGATCCCTTATTTGATAAAAAAAATACTAAAAAGGACAAATTGTCGATTTTTGAAAAGAAAATTTTAATTTAAGTAATAAATAAAAATTAACTTATATAAACCAGGTTTAGTCATTTTATTATTTTTATATTTTCAAACTAATTATTAATAAATAAACAATTAAATTGGTAAATGTTATCATATAAAAAGTATTTAGTAATCAATTTATTTACAAATTATGCCAAAAGAATGTCAGACGATATGCAGTAGAAGTCTTCAGATGTAATCAAATTTATAGTAAAAAGATTCAATAAATGTAATTTCAATATACAGTACAGTACTGTACAGTATTAATCAATTTAAGGCCAAACTTATGATCAAAATTCAATCAAAGTTATGACAAACATATCAATAGTTGGTTATTTAAAAATACCAGAGAAGTGTCTAAACATAATGATAGGGCACTATCAGTTGTTTATTTTTATAGTCTCTAAATATTAAAAATAGTACATTTGATAATTGAATTAAATTTTTTAAAATTTTTGAAATAATTTCTATTAAATAGCTATAATTAAAAAAGGTTGAGACAGAGTCACTATACTTGTAAAGTACTTTAACTTTCTACTTTATATTTGGCACAGATTTTGAGAAATTCATTATTTTAATTAGTATAACACTAACTGCACTTTACTGTAAATATTTGTTTACTTATAATATATACAATAAATTAATATTATTTTGTAATTGTATTTGTTCGTTCATGTGCATATAACCTTGTTATATATCAAAACAAGTTCTTGGTCATTGAAATAGTCTATATTTCATATACGGTAGATATATTAGGTTTTTAATTAGTTATTGTTATTATTAATTAGTTATTATACTAATTTTTAATTAGTTATTGTAGCAAATATTTGACTTATAATTTACTATTTGACTATTTTTGGACATATTCTGGACACAACTTATAAGTAGGAATACAATAAATATGGATAAAAAGTGGGTTTTTATAACTGGGCTAAGTGTATCCCTGTGA